AAATCAAAGCAGCCCTATTATGCACTGTATCAGTTACCTAGGATAATACTTCACATTGTGTGGCTCTCAAAGCAGCAGATTCAGCATTAGTTGGAGACTTCTTAGAAATGCAAATTCTAGAGCCCATCTCAGACCTACATGAGAAATTCTGGGATTGGGCCCAGCATCCAGTTTTAACAAGCCTTCTATTGATTCTGATGGTTGTCCCTAGTTTGAAAAGCAATGGTTTAGGACAGTATTGAGACCCAAGCCAGTTTGGCTCAGTGGGAAGAGTGTCGGCCTGCAGATTGAAGGGCCCTGGGCTAGATTCTGGTCAAGGGCATGCACCTCTGTTGCAGGCCCCTTATTGGCACAGGCCCTGATCAGGTTGCGTATAGGAGGCAACCATGAATGTGCTCTCTCACACTGATATTTCTCTCTGTCTTTCCCTCTCTCTTCCACTCTCTCTAAAAATCAATGAAAAAAAAATATCCTAGGGTAAAGATAAAAAAAAAGAAAAAGGACTGAGGCCTGGCTGGTATGGCTCAGTGGTTGAGAATTGACCCATGAACCAAAATATTCCTGGTTCATTCCCAGTCAGGGCACATGCCCGGGTTGCAAGCTAGGTCCCCAGGAGGAGGTGTACAGGAGGTAGCCAATCCATGTTTCTCTCATCGATGTCTCCATCCTCCTCCCTTCCTCTCTCTCTACAAAAATAATAAAAATAAAAAAACGTATTTTTAAATAAAAGTATTGATTACTTATACATAGACATCCTATATTCAAAGAGTTTACAGTCTATTGGAGAAGGAAAACATGCATATAAGTAATTATAGTGCATGAGGAGCATACAGTAAGTACCAAAATGAAGTATAGAGAGTACTAAAGGAATATTGAGAGAGAGTGATAAATTCTTACTACTGCATTAATATTATTTAACATTTATTTATTACTAGACACTGTACTATTGCTTTGTATACTGGGTTAGGCAAAAGTAGGTTTACAGGTGTTCGTATGGCAAATAATGCAATAATTAATAAATAATAATATAAAACTAAAGTCTATGTTTCACATACCCACAATTATAAACCTACTTTTGCCCCATCCTGCACTAATTCATTGATCATACCAGCAATCTCATAAAACAGGCACTATTATCCCCATTCTACAGATGAAGAAATTAAAGCATAGAGAAGTTAAGAATCAGGGTATATAGGTTATATAGCTAGTTAGTAGTTCAGGTTTTAAACTCAGGCAAACTGACTTTATAGCCCATGCCGAAGACTTGATGAAAAAAACAAAACGAAAACAAACACCATTGGAGTTTAGGGAATAGTATGTAAGATGTGCAGAGAGAATGGGTGAGAACAGAGAATAGAAGATTAAACAAACTTAAGAAATATATTAGACTCCATGAGGAGTATCAATAGAAACTTTGTTAGTAAAGGAAATCATTTTTATATGTTTCAAAATCTTGATGTAATTCAATCAATTCAGTAAAAGGAGTCAGTCATCCAAATGAACCAAATACTAAGACTAACAGTGCAATTCAATCTCTTCTATTAAAAAAAAAAAAAAAAAAAGTACTAGAACACAATCATGACTTTCACAGTGACCTCAACACCCCTACCTAAATAATAAATTTAATTTCACTAAAATCCTATTACAGAAAAAAAAAATTCTGTAATTCTGGCTTAGTATAACAAGACTATAAACTTTTTAAGAAACAGTAAATGAAATGTGAGTTTACCATGTATGTCTTCTGTGATAACTTCATCTTTGTCATAATATTTATGTAAACAAGGTGATCCATTATGAGGATATAATGAGTGATTAATTCCAGAAGGTTCATTAGATATGCACTCTAACCAGTGAAGCAGTCAGAGATGAATGCTTAATGCATATTTCTGAGTTATTAATTGATTGCTCATATAAATAAGTAAAATTTTATTTTGGCCTCAGTAAATTATGAATAAGCAAAACATGGTACTTTTAAACTCAATTTTCATTTTTTGATAGATATTAATGAAAGTTGGATTTTTATTTTAGTAAGCTATAGTAAAATTTAGGTTTAATTTTTTCAAAATCTATACTATAATCAGAGTATACAAAATCCAATTACAAGTAGAATAAAAACAGCTAAACTTTTCAAATGTTTCAAACACTTAAGTTTTTCAAAATCTCAAAAAATACTTATAACTAAAATATTAACAAGATCATTAGTTACTATTTTTATATACTTCATGAGAGGTCAAAACAGAAATTTTATTTATTTTTTTATTAATCCTGATCCAAGAATATTTTCCCAATTATTTTTAGAGAACATGAAAAGGAGGGAGAGAGACACAGAAATATCAATGTGAGAGTAACACAGCGATTGGTTACCTACCGCATGGTCCCTGATCAGGGCAAAGGATCGAGCCTGCAACCAAGGTATGTGCCCTTGATCAGAATCAAACCAGGGACTCTTCAGTCTGTGTTCTAGTGCTCTAGCCACTGAGCCAAATTAGATAGGGCTTGAATTTTATTTTTATACTAGAGGCCTGGTGCTCAAAATTAGTGCATGGGGGAAGAGGGAGGTGTCCCTCAGCCCAGTCTGCACCCACTCCAAACTGAGACACCTCGAGGGATGTCCAACTGCCCATTTAGAAGAAACCAAGATGGCGGCATAGGTAAACATCTAAACTACTGCCTTACACAACAATTTCAAAACTACAACTAAAAGACAAAACAAACATCATCCAGAACCACAGAAAAGCTGGATGAGTGGAAATTCTACAATTAGAAGGAAAGAGGAAAGCACACAGAGAACCAGAGGAGCTGCAAAAGGCTGAGGTACAGAGACACTCATGTTGGTGACTGAATGCCTGGCTGGGTTTCTCTAGCGCAAAGGAGAAAAAAGCTCCCAACTGTGCTGAATCCCAGTTCCAACTGCACTGAACCCAGTTCCAGGCGAGACTCTGGGGACCCAGGCTTATATGGGGGGAAACTGGACTGTCAGGAGAAAACCCAGGGGAGCCACAAAAGGCAGAGGTCTGGTGATACACGCAAGTGTGAGCAGAGAGGACTGACTGCTGAGTGTGCCTCTGGCTTTCTCTAGTAGGTGGCAAATGGAAGCTCCCCACTACGCTGAACTCCATTTCCTGGTGAGAATCTGGGAATCCAGATTCATTGGGGGAGAAACTGGACTGTCTGGCCGCAAGCGAAACTTGAGGACAGCTTACTCTTAGAGGTGCTTGCAGCGATTACAATTACCGAGGGACACTGAGACCCACGGGCCTCATACGGCAGGGATGACGGGAAGCTAAGACTATCTGCTCAGCCCTGACATTCTGCTCCATCCAAACCGAGCACAGAGGCTTTTGCAATTTTGCAAGTCTTGTCTCATAAGGCTATCTCCAGTACAGAAGTTCTTCCATCGTAGACACAGCTGATACGCACAGCCAATTGGCCTGGAGGTCAATTCCTCCCAGTGATACCAACAATCAAGACTTAACTACAACAAGGCTGTACACACAGTCCACAAAGGAGTGCACCAAGAGTGTCCACTGGGTAGTTTTGTGTGATAGAACACCTAGCACACAAAACTACCCTACCAATACAGGAAGCAGTGAAAATGCAGAGACAAAAAAAAAGATCACAAATGAAAGAAATGGAGAAAAACAAAGGACTGGATATAGAGTTAAAAACACAGTTATAAGGTTTTTCAAGAATTTCCTAGAAAAGGCCGATAAATTTAGTGAGACCCTTGAGGATATGAAAAAGGACCAAATAGAAATTAAATATACACTAACTGAAATAAAAATACAGAGACCCAACAGCAGACTAGAGAAACACAGGAATCAAGTCAAAGATCTGAAATACAAAGAAGCAAAAAACACTCAAACAGAAAAGAAAAATGAAAAAAGAATACAAAAATTTGAAGATAGTGTAAGGAGCCTCTGGGACAACTTTAAGTGTACCAACATCTGAATTATGGGGGTACCAGAAGAAAAGAGAGGGAGAGAGAGCAAGATACTGAAAACCTATTTGAAGAAATAATGACTGAAAACTTCCCCCACCTGGTGAAAGAAATAGACTCACAAGCCCAGGAAGTGCACAGAACCCCAAACAAAAGGAATCCAAAGAGAACCACTCCAAGACACATAAAGATTAAAATGCCAAGAGCAAATGACAAAGAGATAATATTAAATGCAGCAAGGGAAAAACAGTTAATTACCTACAAGAGAGCACCCATACAACTGTCAGCTAATTTCTCAGCAGAAACTATGCAGGCCAGGAAGGAGTGGCAAGAAATATTCAAAGTGATGAATAGTAAGGATCTACAACCAAGATCACTCACCCAGCAAAGCTATCATTCAGAATTGAAGGTCAGATAAAGATCTTCACAGATAAGAAAAAGCTAAAGGAGTTAATCAGCACCAAAACAGTATTATATGAGATGCTGAAAAGTATTCTTTAAGAAAAAGGTAAAAGATAAAAATTATGAACAAATACATATCCTTCAATAAGTGAATCTAAAAATCAAGCGAATTAAAAATCTGAGGAACAGAATAAACTGGTGAATATAATAGAATCAGGGGCATAGAAAGGGAGTGGACTGAAAATTCTCAGGGGAAAAGGGGTGTTGGGGGTGTGGGAAGAGATTAGACAAAAATTGTACACCTATGGATGAGGACAGTAGGAAGGAGGTAAGGGCAGAGGGTGGGGTGGGAACAGGGTGGAGAAAATCTATGGGGGAGAAAAAGAGGAACAAGTGTAATAATCTGAACAATAAAGTTTTATTAAATTTAAAAAAGGAATACATGAGCAAATGTTAGAAAAATGTGGGACATATTAAATCTGAGTGATGTAATACATGTGAAAATTTTATAATAAAAATAAAATAAATACTTAATGAAGATAGAATAATCAGAATTTTACATATAACCAAAAAGAGGATTAGAAAATTAGAAGATGGATATGAAGTGACTATCCAGATTATGAGTAAGATTTAAAGGAGAGAAAAAAAACAATCTCACCTTCTTTTGGGCTCACTGCTGCAGGAAGACTATTCCAATCAATGGTCCAAGTAGGACAAGGGTGAGGAGAAAACATCACTTCAATGCCTTTTTCCTAGAAAAGGAAATAGGTACTTTCCAAATTAATGAATTAATGAAAATCCTATTATGTACTTTGTACAAAGCCAAAATTCTATTTTCTATACTAGCATGGCAAAAACATAAAAATTAATAATCACCAGGTTTTCCTCAAAATATCTGATTACATAAGAAACATAAGAGTTTTTTTTTTACAGCAGTTACTTTCCTATTTTTTTTTACACCAAGATAATAAAAAGTAATGATATTTAAAAACTATTACCTGAGGATACATAGAAGTAATGAGCTAGAAATATATTGTGTGTCAAAAAGACACCTGAGGATAAAATTTTATCAAAAACAACCTATACACAAATGATAAAAAAACAATTTTGCTGATGTCCATGAATATCTGTATTTACAGAATATTGCCATAACCTAGGAGCTCTATTTACAGGACTTAAAAGCCTCACTTCAACCTATGCCCCCAAAATATCATCCATACCAGTCTTTTATACAACAATATCTCTAGAAAAGAATTCCTCTGGTTTAACCAAGCAGTTCCCAACTTTTTCAATATATCAAAAAAATCTCAGACTTCTTTCCCATGTTAAAAGTTGTGCATTTCTTTACTTGATCAAGAGACAGTGGCATGACATACACATGGATGCCCTGACTCCTATCAATCAAATTCTGGGTACAGAACCCACAGAATAAATATCCATGATTCATATTTTCCCCCCAGTTATATCCTATTCAAAAGAAAAATCCCCCAAAAAATCTACCATTAACCTGTTCTTATCAACTAATTCGTGAGAAAACTTTCCCTTAGGAAAACTAGCTAAATTCCTATCTCAAAGGAAATAATATAAAGTTTTATTTTTGGTTGGGATAGAGATATAACTATATAGGTCTAAAGATTGAGAATACTCACTTTACCTCTCTTCTATCTTTCTTATAGCCATATAGAACTCCTTGCTGTTCTTCATTTCACCAAACTCATTCATTATTTTGGAAACTTTTAAGAATATAGCTATAATGACATATAATTTATATGTCATAAAATTTACCTTTTTAAAGCACACAATTCAATGGTTTTTAGAATATTCACAATTGGGCAACCATCATCACCATCTATTTTGAAAACATTTTCATCACCTCATAAAGAAGTCCCACACTCATTAGCAGACACTCTCCATCCTCCCCTCTCAGCTTCTGCCCTAAGCAACCACTAATCTATTTGCCCGTGTGGATTTTCTCAGGGTCTTTTTCAAGTGAAATCCTCTGCCTAGAACACTTTCTCCAAACCTTCAATTCATTCAAGTTATTTGCTCAATGTCTTCATCTAATCAGATAAGTCTTTTTGACCATCCTACCTAAATAGGACCCCTACCCTGATTATCCCATATTATTATTATTTTTTTGGCATTTATTGCTTAACATGTTTTTTCTTTATTTATTTTCACCACAAGAATGTAAGTACCATGATAACAGTCCAATTTGTTCTTCATGTACCCAATATTCATACTGGTGCTTGGTATTTAGTAGACACATACTATATATTTTTGGACTGACTAAATAAATAAGTAAATTTCAAACTTCTGGAAAATTGTGGATGTAAGAGTATGCCAAAGAATATGAATGGGAAAAAAAATAGTGAGATGTGAGTGTTCTTAAGAAATACTTTACTGTTTTATACTTGCACTAGAGGCCCAGTGCATGAAATTTGTGCACAGGAGGGGGGTCCCTCAGCTCAGCCTGAACCCTCTCCAATCCAGGACCCCTCAGGGGATGTCCAACTACCAGTTTAGGCCAGATTCCTGCAGGCCAAAACATACAGTAGGACATTTCTTTCATAATCCAGGATTGCTAGCTCCTAACTGATTGCCTGCCTGCCTGCCTGCCTGCCTATCTGCCTGCCTGCCTGCCTGATCGTCCCTAACCACCTCTGCCTGCTGGCCTGATAGCCCCCTAACCACTCCCCTATGGGCCTGATCAGCCCCCACTGCCCTCCCTGCTGGCCTGATCGCCCCCTAACTACTTGCTCCCCCCATGCTGGCCTGATTTCGCCCCTAACTTCTTGCTCCCCTACGCCGGCCTGAACTTGCCCCTAACTGCTTGCTCCTCTGCCGACCTGATTGCCCTTGACTACCTCTGCCTCTGGAAGATGTCCAGTCAACCTGGTCTAATTAGCAAATTACCCTTTTATTAGTTTAGATTAGCACCAATTTCATGTGTCCTCATGTAATTGGCACAAAATTCTATGACTATACAAAAATTAAAAGTTACTGTATAATTAAAATTAATATAATTTCATAATATATTAATTTGATATAATATTTACTGCCTTTCAGAAATACGTATCAATAGAGAAATCCACTAGAAAGTACCAAAAACCATGCCCTGTTGAAAAAAAGAAATTTTATTGTATCTACAATCAAGTTTGAACTAAATGAAAATGAAAATTTTAACTTATTTTCAGATTTGAACACTCCTTTTTAAAATTAAAAGTGTAATGTCCCAATTTTTATACAATCATAAGATTTAAAATAAAAAATAAATCATACAGAATGTATACTATACTCTCGTAATTTATAAATGCAGGAATTTATATCTTTTAGTAAAATGATTTACTGAAGGTCACAATGTCAGCTTAGCTGCAAAGCAGAAACTAGAATCCATGTCACTGATTCCTAGTCTAATGTTTGCCCCCAAGTCTATAACTAAACGTGGCAGAGATACTAGGGCAGATCCATTCCTGAGAAATATGGAACTCACTGACAGATGGTCCAGGTTTAAGGATTCCCCATTGGCTTGCCAAAACTTTCTTAGAATTGCACTTCAGTGTAATTTTCAGACCCATCTTTCCTTCTTTTCTGTTCTCATGTACTGCGGTCAAAACTGCATCATTGAAGAAGGCTCTGCCAGCCTCTCGGGGCTCCCTCCCCCGTTTCTCTCACAGATTTTCCCTCACTAGGCCTCTTGCATATCTAATCCTACCTTGGAATTAAACTCTTCTTGGAGGACCTGAACTAATAAATCCTCTGTAAATTAAAAATTCAATATCCCTTCATATTTTATATCATTACAAAAGAGTTTATTTTTATACTGCTTATTAACTTGTTCTGAATTTAAATTTTAGTTAGTTTTAAATATTTAAAATATTTTTAAATGTATAGAATGCAGATGTCTTTTTTAATGTCATTTATTTTTGGAAAAGCATAGGTAGAAAAATCTGAATTACTAATCTTTCTTTCAAGATTGCACATGTATGCATTAAAAGCACAAGTTTTTGGTTGATAAATCTTAAAAACACTAAAACTTAGTATTTTAATATAAAGAGATTACTAATTATTATTTATTTAAGAACATTCATGAGGTGAACAGCTTAACCATTTGAAGGCATGTCAAAATTTGGACATGCCTTGAAAACTTCTAAAATCAACTATATAATCCTGTTTCATTGTTTCATCACTAGGCTAACAAACGTAGCTAAAGAAATAAAGGACCCGTGTCTTTACTAAAATCTTCTCATGCCTTTGTAAATCCCCAAACATGTGTTAACTATAGAACACAAATGATTCCTAACCCAAGTAGAAAAATATCTGAATATTTTTTTTTTAGTATAACTCAGATAGATGAATAGTTCAAATTACTTCATGAATTCTCTATTCAAATAAATCAAATAGTCAAAGTTAAAAGCAAAACGTTATTGTAGATTGTCTTGAATGGTAAAGAAAGAAAGCCTATTGGTAGAAACAAACTATGCTGCAAAGAGAAAAAACTATAAATCATGTGTTATTACATAAACGAACATTGTAATCAAAGAATAAAAACAAAATTCAAAGAATTAAAAAACCTTAAATTTAAAAAAAAATCTTAGAAAGTAAGTTGAGATATTCATCCTTGCAACAAAAAAATTTACCAGGTAAAACAATAAATTTGATAGGTGTGATATGATCTTGTTGTCTTTAATATAAAAAAAAAGTTTTGAAAAAATTACTGTTTTAAACACATATGCTGACTTATGTGGCTCCAAAAACAAATAATATTAAAATCCTTCAATTTACTATAACTCAAATGCAAAAGAATACTAAAAATATTAATTGATCAAGAGTGATATAGGATAGCTACAAATAAGATTTATAACAAATAATGTCAACAAACGATTACAAGTTAGGGTAACATTATCACATGCAATTTTTCAAATAAAATTTTAATGAAAACAATTTAAGTACCATTAACTTGGTCATTGTGGGCCGTGGGCCTCCTATAAATGAAGGATCATTTTGTTCCTCTCCACCCGGGTCTTCATTTAAGCCTGTGTGCTGTTCATTTGACGTGGTCAGCAACTCTGGTAAAGGGCAAAACTGGATCCCACATTGAGAAGCTGCTGTTTTTACTCTTGGCACTTCCTGAATCCTTTGGTACCACGCAGCCAGCAGTGGAAATTCTGTCAGCCTTTCAGAAAGTTTCTTGCAGATAATTAACTAGGCAGTAAGAGAACAAAACACAGTATTATATATTTTTGTTTATGACAGCTATATTGAAGTAGCTTTACATACCATATAATTTACACATATTAAGTATAGAGTTCAAACAATGAGTTTTAGTAAATTTATACAGTTGTGCAACTATCAGTATAATTTAATACTAGAACACTTACATCACATCAGAAAGTTCCCTTGTGACCATTTTACAGTTCATCTCTGCTCTGTTGATCAGCTACAGGTAACCACTATTCTGCTTTCTGTATGTATAATTTTGCCTCTTGTGAAATTTCATCTAAATGAAATCATAAAATGTGTGTTTTGTTTTCCACTTAGTATTATTTTACTGAGGTTCATCCAGATAGCTGCATTTATTAGTAGTTTATTTCTGATTATTATAATAGAGCATTTAACGACTTTCATTTATTTACATTGCTCAGATGCTTTTTCTCAAGCACCACCACCAAAGTTCAATTTCCTTAAAATTAGTTTGTTCTTGATTCTTTGTGAGTCACTGGATGTTGTTTCCATAGAAACAGTTATATTGTCACAAATATATTATGACTTATGATTATGAACACATAAATAAGTAAAAAGGTCAAGTTACAGAAAATTTCTACAAATATATCTAACAATATTCAGTACCAAAGTAGAAGCCAGATAGCACAGAAAGTTAATTTAAAAAATTCACAGGTGTATATATGTTTATTTTAAGTGGACTTTAAGGTTAAGTAAGCACACATAATTTCCTATAAGGGCAAAGTGTTTTTTTTGTTTTTGTTTTTAAATATATATTTTATTGATTTTTTTACAGAGAGGAAGGGAGAATAGAGTTAGAAACATTGATGAGAGAGAAATATCAATCAGCTGCCTCCTGCACACCTCCCACTTGGGTATGTGCCCACAACCAAGGTACATGCCCCTGATGGTAATCGAATCTACAACCTATTAGTCTGCAAGCTGACGCTCTATCCAAACTGGTCAGGGCTAAGGCAGGTTTTATGTTCAACTTGGTACACTGCAACACTTAAAACACTGCCTTGCAAAAAATATGGGCTGTTTAGTGAATGAACAATGATCAAGGAACCATTTATTAACTTCAGTCTCTCACACTGCTTTTTATGATCCTTTAGGAGTATGTGAAATCAATATAGATTTTTAATATCAGGAACAAGACAAGGATGCCCACTTTCACTACTTCTAGTCAATTTATTATTGGAAGTTATGGCACATCAATCAAACAAGACAAATAAATAAAAGGCATCCAAATTGGAAAAAATGAGATAAAACTGTCATTATTTGTAGATAACATGATACTATATGTAGAAAACCCTAAAGATTCTACCAAAAAACTATTATGCAACAAATAAATGACTTCAGTAAAGTTGCAGGATACAGAATCAATATACAAAAATTGTGTTTGTATACACTAATAGCAAATAATTCAAAGAAAAAATTAACCAAACGGATGAAAGACGTGTACTCTGAAAGCTAGAAGACATTGAAGAAAGATATTGAACAATGTAATTGGAAATAATTATATTATTATATTACCTAAAGTAATATATAGATTCAATACAATCTCTATTAAATAACATTGACAAACTTCTAAAAAATACAACTAATCCTAACATTTATATGGAATCACAAAAGACCCCGAACAAATCCCGAGAAAGAACAAAGTAGGAGGTATTATGCTCCCTGATATCAAACTATACTACAAAGATACAATAATCAAAACAGTAGGGCACTAGTCTAAAACACAGATATAGAAATCAATGGAACAGAATAGAGATCCCAGAAGTAAGTCATTTCTTATATGGTCAATGAATGTAAGACAAAGACGACAAGGGTATACGATGGAATAAAGACAGTCTCTTTAATAAGTGGTGTTAGCAAAACTGGACAGATACATACAAAAAAGTAAAATTGGACCACTTCCTTACACCATATAAAAAATAAATTAAAAATGAATTAAATATTTAAATGTTAATCCTGAAACTATAAAACTTCTGGAAGAAAACATAGGCGGTAAACTCTTTGACATCACTCTTACCAAAATCTTTTAAAAAATATTTCCTCAAGCAATGGAAATGAAACAAATGGAACTATATATCAAACTGAAAAATTTTTTGCATAGTGAAGAAAACCATCAAGAAAACAAGATAACCTACTGAATGGGAGAAAATATTCACAAATGATACACTGATACAGGGCTAATATCCAGAATATATAAATAACTCATACAACACCAAAAACAAGCAGACAATCTATTGTAATTAGAAAATAGGCAGGCTACCTGAATAGACATTTCTCTCAAAAAGACATACAGAAGGCAAACAGACACATGAAAAGACATTCAGCATCACTAATCAGCAGAGAAATGTAAATAAAAACCACAATGGTATATCATTTCTCACTTATCAGAATGACTATCATCAATAAATCAACAAATAACAAATACTGGTGAGGATGTGGAGAAAAGGGAACCCTTGTACAATAAGGTGGAACTGTAAATTAGTGCAGCCACTATGGAAAACTGTAGAGAGATCTTTTAAAAAATTAAAAATAGAGTTGCCATATGACCCAGCAATTCCACTTCTGGGCATTTATCTGAAGAAAACAAAAACACTAGCTCAAAAAGATTATGCACCCCTATGTTCATTGTAGCATTACTAGTAATAGCTAAGATGTGGAAGCAACCTAGGTGTTCATTGTTGATGAATAGATTAATGGATAAAGAAGATGGTACAATGCAGCATTTAAAAAAAATCAATCTTGCCATTTGCAAAAACATGAATGGATCTACAGGTACTATGCTAAGTGAAATAATTCAGACAAAGAACAATACCATATTATCTCACTTATATGTGGAGTCTTAAAAACTAATAAATGAATAAACAAAACATAATAAAAACAGACCCATAGATATAGAGAATAAGCTGGTAATTGTCAAAGGCAAGTAGGTAGGGAAATAGTAATAAAAAGAAGATAAAATGAAATATAGAAAGTATGAAAGTACACATCATATAGTAACGTGGATTATTTTATAAATATACTTATATAGAACATAAAGATGTATATTTGCATTTATATGCTCAATCATCTTGGAAAATGCATTTTACTGTGGAAGTAAAGTTTGGAAAACACTGCCTAACTTGTGCTCTGAAAGCCAAAAGAGTTTGTAATTCTCACCAAAATTCTTAATTGTGTGGAAATAAATTATGTGCTAAGGGAATTTAGATAAAGCTGTGATAAATTAACCAAATAAAAAATGATCTCATCTCTTTACCCTTTTCTTACTCTCTCCTTAGCAGTGACTTATTCTTACTTGTTAGATGTATATGATATCTTTCCTTCTTTTTGAAAAGAAGTTGTTATTATGTAACAACTAGAGGCCCGGTACATAGATTCATGCGCTGGTGGAGTCCTTCAGCCTGGCTTGTGCCCCCTAGCAATCCAGAACCTGGAGGGGGTGGGGGGGAGTGGTGTCAGACTGCCAGTTTTCGCCCAATCCCCTGTATGGCAGGAAGCCGCAGGCGGGCCAAAACCGGCAGTCCCACATCCCCCAGGGATGTAGCAGTGCAGGAAATGGCAGGCAGCCTGGAGGAGCCCAAGCTATGAGCTCAGCTTCCGGCTGAGCGGTGCTTCTGCTGTGGGAGCGCACTGACCACCAGGGGGCAGCTCCTGCATTAAGCGTCTCCCACCCTGGTGGTCAGTGCAATGGTTGTTTGGTTATTCTGTCACTTAGGCATATATATATATATATATATATATATATATATATATATATATATATATATATATATGTATAATTCATATTTAAAAGAAATTGAGTTTTACTTTGTGTGGCAGACCATCTATTACATTTAATCAGCATGCCAGGCTGCTCAGCAACATCCAGACAGTTCAGGAGGCACTGCACCACATTCATTAAATACAAGATGTATTTAAGGAAGTGGCTAATGAAAAATGTATGAAATGAAATTTAAATTTGTTCCTAAAAAAAGGTATTTTTAAAAATTTACCTGGCTGATATGATCAAAACCATCATAAATATCACAGAGTTAATTAAGGACAAGAAAATTAGAATTTATTCTTAAAATAATAAAAAAAAATTATACTATCAAAAGTACAAAATGAAACCCTAGTGGCTTTGTAATAGGGCAGAAAAAAATGTTTGCACAAAAAAAACAAACAAAAAAAAAAACCTGAAGCAAAATACTACATCAATCCAAAATATCTCCTCTGCATTATTTTCCAATCACTTACATAAAACATTTTGTACTTCTTTTATATCATTTTCCTCATTATATCTACTCTGTCAAAACATGTCATAAAGAACAAATGCTTAGGTGAACAATGTGATAAGCAAGGCAAAAAAAAATACTGCTCTTTTGTATTCTTGGCCTTATTTCTGTGACTAAATATCACAGCTTAAGATTCAGCTTTCTGTTTCTGATCCAAACATGGTAAACTTGACCTTGATTCCTAATCATGAACTTGATCCTGATCATTAGGACTGCTACTCCATCACTTCAATGTGTGTTGATGCAAGCACAAAGATTCAGCATCATAGTCACTGACCGAACTAAAATGACTGCTTCATAACCCAAGATGACTTAAAAGAGGAAAATACAACTAAAATAACATCAAGGCTTTGGCAAAGAAGGATTAATTCCTGAAGGAAAAGGTACAGATTCAGGAAAAGCAAAAGCAAACAAAAGAAAATATTTTAAGAATTAGCTTACATAGAAATGACAAGAGAAGAATGTAATCATAAGATGCATGAAATAGAAAAGGCTGAGTGTACAAGTTTCCCCCTATTTAAAATTGAGATGAAAACAAGTTTCTCTCTGTAGAATTAGGTAGATTGACTCAGGGGTAGTCAGTAGATGTACTGCCTGTTTAAAGAGGAGGAAAAAACCCTCTCAATTAGGAATACTTCAACCTCAATTGACCCTAATCAGATAAATAGTATTTAAATTAAGCTAAAATCAAATGCAAACTAGTTGAAGATGGATGTCTAGATAATGATCTAAAATTACCTTCATGCAGGTGAATCCAATTTTTTATGTTTTGTTGAGTTTGAAAGCAAATACTCATCTTCTCTATCACCTTGTTTTATTTTCTTTGTAGCAATTACATTATTTAAATATGCATTATCTTTTTTTGTTCACGTGTTCATTTCTATCTTATCCTACTAGAATATTAACTCCAAGAGGGCTGGACCTTATTTATCTTGCTCATCATGATATTCCCAGTGCCTACAGCAGTGCTTATAGTAAGTACAATAGTAGGATTTCAATAAATTTCTCAAATGAATTCATGGATGTGCCACTTTGATTCAACTTTTATGACATTAGAAGAAAGTATCAGGCGTCCTCAAACTTTTTAAAGTGGGGGCCAGATCACGGTCCCTCAGAGAGCTGGAGGGCCGGACTATATGAACTACTAATTCCTACTGTAACACCTCGGCTGCGCTCACTGCCCAAAATACCTGGCGGGCCGGATCAGACTCCTCTGCGGGCCCCTGGTAGGTATTCAAGCAGACCATCAACAGTATTTCATAACATGTAACAAGTGATTGCTCTAATGACTGAAGTTGGTAATAGAGGGGAGAAGTCAGTCTTCAGAGAATTTACGTTGACAAGGAACAAAAAGATATTTTTTCCTCGGAATGGAAAATATGAATACATATGACATTTAAAATACTAATCAACACCTAAACAATTCCTGAAACTTTTTAATATCCTTTAATTCAGAAGTTATGTTGGTTTCCAATCTTATTTCCATTTTGAAGAAAAGAGAAATGTTCTTTAAGAAAATGCCAATTGATTAATACCACCTTAGTGAAGCTTTGGCCTCCAAATATATAGATTTTCCTTAGAAGTATTTTCTCACCTGTCAGTAGAGATACCTGAAATGTTGGTAATATATAATGAAAATGAAATCTGGTACCTGATTATTTAGTAGGGAAAAGGTAATATACTTCAAACCAGGAAAAATGCAGCTCTTGAAAACCAACTGGAAAGCTGCAGAGAGATATAGCTTCCCATGTTCACTCTGATGTTATTGTATTTTAACCTTGATCTTTTTTCCTCCATACAGGGAGGGGAGGGAGAGTGGGGGAATGTATATATCTCCATGCCCCTAGTAGAAAATAAAACTTTCCATGTAATTTTATGGTCAACAGAGAGGCATACAGATGAGGATAAAATATTTCTGATTTAATAACAACATAATTAAATTAGTGTTTTAAGTAACTACTTAATTATAAAATACAGCTGACAAGACTTTTATTATTTTTTAATTTATTTTTTAAAATATATTTTTATTGATTTCAGAGAGAAAGGGAGAGGGAGAGACATAGAAACATCAATGATGAGAGAGAGAATCATTGATTGGCTGCCTCCTTCAGGCCCCACATTAGAGGTAGAGCCCAAGACCCAAGCATGTACCCTGACGAGGAATTGAACCTTGACTTCCTGGTTCATAGGTCGACACTCAATCACAGGGCAGGCTAGCGGACAAGACTTTTAGGTGCTTTAACAGTGGAACCCTCTAGTATTAGAAGGGAATCACAATAGCAATTTGAAATTAATTATCATAACAATTGATAGATAATATTTTAACAACTCAAAATTTAAAGTCATGATAATTAGATTTATTGAGAGTTTACTATGTACCAAACACTGTTGTCCACGATTTACACAAAGTTATCATTTATTCCTCACACTCATCCTATTAGATAGGTACTATTATTAGCCCTATTTTACAGAGAAGAAAATGGAGACAGATATTAATAACTTGCCCAGGAGCATAACAATCATGACAAGTGGAATTGAGATTCAAACTTAAGTAATTTTATACACTGAAACTCACAGTAATGTACCCACTCCAGACCAATCTTACCAAAAAATGATGGACACAGGGCAAGAGCACGATGTCTGTCAAAGTGAAGTAAAGGCCTTCTGCGAACACGTGCTCCAGAGGGGGCAGGTCAGAGGCCTTTGCTTTTCTTATGTGAGCCGGTTCCCTGGTGGGAGCAGCTGGTTCTTCCTGTACCGTAAGCTTTGAGAATGCCACTTCCAGTTCCAGGCTCTTGGACAAAGGGTCCGACGCATCAGATGTTTCCTGTCTCTGGGCCTTGCTCTTCGTTTTTGTTTTTTCCTTGAAACCGGAAGGCCCCACTCTGGCAGCCTTCTGCTGCCTCAGCTTCTGCCGACGGAGCTTGTCATCGTTGTGCACTCTAACAGGCTCACTAAGCTTTTTCTCCAGCTGTAGAATTTCTGCAGGGATGCTGGGGTGCTGCTCAGAAGATTCTTTGAGAAAATTCTCAATAGCTAAAGGGATGGTGAGTTCACATAGCCTGGTCCACTGACTAACCTACAAAGTAAAACATGAAATAATTCTTTACTTTCAACATAGCTTGAAGGAAATAACTTTTTATTGGGAAATAAAGCTGGCTTAGTGAATTTGTCTTGATGTAAACCATTCCAGGGTTAGGCTATTATGCTATATGAAGACATTTACAGTGCTTCAGAAGTGCTAACATCAAACAATGGAGGTTTAGCACTCATGTATCTGGAATATATGCTCTCCACCTGTATCCTCTTACTAAATAAATCCTTACTTCCCAAAGCTTTTAAAGTATACCACCACCCAAAAAAAGTGGGTTTCCAAACCACTTTGCTACTTAAACTCCCTGTTCATCAGTATGGAGTTTCCTCAAAAAACTGAAAATGGAACCCCCATTTGGCCCAGTAATCCCACTCCTAGGAATATATCCCAAGAAACTAGAAACACCAATCAAAAAAGATATATGCACCCCTATGTTCATAGCAGCACAATCTACAATAGCTAGGATTTGGAACCAGCCTAGGTGCCCATCAGCAGATGATTGGATCAGAAAACTATGGTACATCTACACAATGGAATACTATGCTGCCATAAAAAAAGGAATTCTTATCATTTGCAGCGACCTGGATGGAATTGGAGAACATTATGCTGAGTGAAATAAGCCAATCAATGAAAGAAAAACACCACATGATCTCACTCATTTATCGATAATAAGAAACATTATAAACTGATGAACAAAAAGATAGATACAGAGACAGTAAAGAAACATACGGACTGTCAAATTACTGCAGGGAAGGTAGGGAGATATGGGGGAGATAAGAGATCAACTGAAGGACTTGTATGCATGCATATAAGCATAACCAATGGAGGAAAAACTATGGGGAAGGAGGGCATATCTGGGAATGGGGGTGGGGAGGATTGGTAAGGTATGTACACATATAATATCTTAATAAAAAATAAACTCCCTGTTCATATGTAAAAGTTCCCTTTGTGTAATTAAAAGATTAAAAAAAAAGTAATTCTCTTAAATATCTCCAAGCCTCATTAATTAAATCTAAAATTCATATTTTTCAATACTGCACTGAATTATTGGCATACATAAGGGGCTACTTTATTTCATTGGTTAGTGTAGGTTTTTTTTTTTGTTTTTTTTTAAGGAAATCAAGTTCTAATTTCCAATAGAAAGTTAGATGTTTAAGTGAATGTGTCATCACTATATGGCTTGAATAATAGAAAAGAGACATTATATTATACTTACCTCGGCACAGGCTTTTAAGCAAGTCTTTTTAAAACCCAGAAGTTCCAAAACTTCCTTCTTCGAGGGGTCTGCTTCATATGATTTCTGGATTATATGTCTCAGTACAACAGCAAGTCCTGCTCTACAGAAACTGTCTGGTCTTTCTACTACTGCAGGTAAACAGCAATTCTGGACTATGGGTGGGAGCTCTTGTTTTGAAATAATCTGTACTTCAACATCCTGTGACAGTACATTTTTAAGTAGTGAAACATCTGTACTTTCTCTTTTGAGTACTAAGTAAACTTTAAAGATTTTGCAGTCACAGTATGATAACAAAAATAAAGTCACAGATGTATGAAGTGGGAAAATGCATCCTTCTATTTGGTGAGAGAAGTCCAGGAACAGATATTCTTCTGCAAGACTTTTCTTAATGCCTTTCATTTTCTTCTTTGATTGGATCAGCTGAAACATAAATTGAAGTGGTTATAGGCCTTATAATATAATAATTTAGAAGCTACAAGATGAATATTTTTAAAGCATGTCTAAAAATCAGCAAGGATTTGTGATAGATAATATTCTACATGAATTTGTTCCTGCATTGAATAAATAGCTTTCAAAACAAAAATTTCCATTTTTGCAATTAACTAATCTTTGGGATGATTTTATACCGAGCTCCTTTAAAATGAGCAAACTCGGCCTGGCTGGTTGCTAGTGGTTAGAGCGCTGGCAGGTGAACTGAAGGGTCTCAGGTTCGACTCCAATTCCCGATTCCCGGTTGGTCGGGGGCACATGCTTTGGTTGCAGGCTCATTCCGGCCTCTGTTGGTGCCTGTGTGGGAAGCAACCAATCAATGAGTCTTTTTCACACCCGTGTTTCTGTTTCTCTGTCTCTCCCCACCACTTCCACTCTCTCAAGAAAAATCAATGGAAAAAGTATCCTCTGGTGACAATTATCAAGCAAATAAATAAATAAAATGAGCAAACGCAGGTGTTTTCCAATAGATCCCTCCCCATCAAGTACTTTGAGGTTTCACTACAGGTGAGGAAAAGACATGAATAGAATGGAAAACAGGAAATCACCAAGAATACTGAGAGTTATCTGGGGCTGATAAGCCTTGAGAAGCTTTGATAGTGCTGATCCTCCCACACTATTTCTGATTTATGACCCTAGGACATAATAGTCAAGGGGGATATATTTATTTCCTCACGAGAAATGAATCCTCCCAAAATAAGTGGGTTTTGTTATGTGGTAAGCTACTGCATGCTGTGTCACAAGAGAAAAATAATTGAGTTTCCCCATAATTTAGATGTTGATAACTGAGATAGCACAAAGTTAACATATCCAAAATCGAGTTCCTTATTTTCCCCTACTCCCAAATCTGTTCCTTGTGTATCTTTCCTGTCTCAGATAACAGAACACCCTTCTTCTAGCTGCTTATGCGCAAACCGGGGAGTCATTGTTAATTCTCTTCTTTCACACCTCCATAACCAGCCCACTAAAAAGGTTATTTTGGCCCAGCCAGTATGGCTCAATGGTTGAGCATCAACCTCTGAACTGGAAATCAGGTTTGATTCCTGGTCAGGGCACCTGCCCAAGTTGTGGGCTTATCTCTAGTAGAGGGTGTGCAACTAATCCATCACCTACCTTCCTATCGATATTATAGCATTTGCTTCCTAACATTGCTTCCCATCCTACCTCCCCCTCTAGTCTATTTTCAACAGAGCAGCCAAAGTGATCCTGTCAGAAATGAAGTAAGATTACGTCACTACTCTGCTCAAACCCTCCAATATCTTCCCATTCTACTCAGAGAAAAAGGCAGTTCTACAATGGTGTACAAAGATCTCTTTAATCTAATCCTCTTTTTTTGTCTCTGAGCTCATATCAACTCTCCCCATTGCTCACTGCTTCAGCCAAAGTGCCTTGTTAGATAGTAGGTACATTCTCACCTCAAGGCCTTTGCACTTGATGATTCCAGTGCCTGGAACACTCATCTCCTTTAGACACTAACTCAAATAAGAACTTCTGAGATCTTCCCTGCCTATAATATTTAAATCTGGAACCCCAACACACACTCTCCCTGAAAAAAAAAAAAAAAAAAAAAAAAAAAAAAAAAAAAGCCTTCTATGCTTTTCTTCATAGCTCTCATCACTGTTGCAACATGCTATCTACAGGGTATTCCCCAAAATGTAACACTATAATAGGTAATAGCTCAATTTTGAAAATGAAATGTATTTTAATAAACTTTAGAATTATTCAAAGTGTGTGTATACACTTTTGGGGACACCATATATTCATTTTATCTGTCTAAACTAAAATGTTCCATGACTAGAAATTTTGTTCACTTCTATGCCTAAAACAGGACCCAACTTTATATATATTATACATGGACTCAATAAATATTTATTGAATGAATGCATGGATGAATCTACACATTCGCTATTTTAAAGATGCAAACATACACAATTTTGAGGTCTAATTATTGATGGTATTTTCAGACATAATCCTTAAGACTTTCGTTATTTATAACTTTTTGTTTGATTTACACATTTCCTAGGTCTAAAATTCCCCATGCTCTTATCCATAAATCACAATTCAAAAATTAACACTAGATGGCACTCTTTGAAAGCAATCACCATGGAAGCATGTAGTAATAGAAAGATGGTATTATTAGAGAAAATTTCATTTTAAAAGCCCTTAAAAGTACACATGCAACTCTGTTAAGTGTATTGGAAATATTAGTGTACCCTAAATTATAAGAAATCTTAAGCATACTAAATTTCCTTTAATGTTCTAAATTCCTTTTTTTTTTTAATCAAAAGCAGAATAGTCAAATACTCTTTAAGTTTTTGGCTCTCAATTTTTTTTTAATAAAGAGATAATAATCCATTATACAAATGTATGTAGTTACTAAGATATTGTATTTAAAGAACACTTAATAATGCAAACAATCTCTATTATTTTATATTTCTTTTATTAAAACATAACACATATGCACCATAGATTGCTACTTCTTTAAAAGGTTATTTAGACTAGAAAATTTATTTCATGTAATTTAAAAGCAACTACTTTTTAGCCCATGGAAACCATTTTTCCCTGAGCTTAATTACTTTTTTTTTTTTTAAACCTAGAGCTGATTTATATATAAAAGAGTATTAAAGCCCAGAGGCAAAAGAAACCATTCTCTAAGAAATGGACACTCTCTGAGGAACTTGTCCCTAGAAATCTATTGCTGACTAATTTGCCAATCCTCTTAAAGTCTTCTTCGGACAGTGGGTTACTATAAAGAAGATCCTAAATGCATAGTGAAGACCTAGGGGGGGCTGGAGTGGGGGGAGAGAAGAGGAGGCTGAGAGGATGGGGTATAGGCAGAGAAAATGGGAGGTGATATCTGTAATACTATCAACAATAAAAATATTTTTTTTTAAAAAGTTCCTACATGCTTCAAGAACCAGATTTGAAATAAAACATGATAGATTTCATTTGCCCAGCAATCCAGGAAACAGTAATTATGAGACTGGTCCTAACACTTAAAAAAAAACAAACAAAAAAAAACAAATAACAAATAAAACATCTGGAAAGCAATGTCATGCTATGTTACAGTTTTTGATTTAGGAAATATAGAATTTTCCTAAAAAATTAAGGTTCATGTATATTTGTCAATTCTAAGGTGCATAAGAACCTTGAAAACAGACTTTTACCTATTATATAAACGACTCTCTCCATAAGCACTTTTAAATGCTAAATGTCAATGAGATAGAATAGTAATAATCTACCCATGCAGATATCTGAAAATTAATGAGATGCCTGAGAGAAAATGCAAAGTTCTACTGAGTCTTAACAAAATTTATTTTTCCCAATAAAGATGTTGATGTTTTCTTCCTAGGAGATTAAAAATGTTACTTAATGATCTTGGAGTTAAAAAAAAAATTACCCTCCCTGGGCAATTTCTCCTCATAAAGCACTAATGTAATTCCTAAAATAAATATTAAGTATTAGCAAACTTGTACAAATTTTATGTTTTGGGCTTGTATTACAATATCTAATTTTTCAACATGCGTTAAGTTTATAAATAACATAGGCAAAGAAATCCTTCTTTTCCTTCTCCATGTCTACCTAGAAAATTCCTTTGCTTGTTAATTTTGTGTCGTTGAGCTTTGAAAGAGATAGGTACGCTCTGTAGAATCATCTCCTGGGTCCCCAGAGCTTCTGGGACACAGCCCTTGTTACTCCATATTACATTCCTGAAATGAAGCAACACACAAAACTATGAAGTTTAGGAGCTGAACAAAGCGTTGGAGTGTGCATCTCCTCTCTGGACATGCCAGTTTGCTAGGAATATTACAGGGGGGATAAATAAGTTTTTTAAAAATGCTTAAGCCTTGTTTTTATTACTTGGAAATCTTCAAAGATAGTATAAACAAAGTACTCATAGTTTTAATATTGTAGGCATTTAGGTTTTTTTGCATTCTCATTCTAATTAGTATCTTGGTGTTGACAAATTGAAACATTTCGCATACGAAAAGGGCAATGAGTTTTATAGGCGTTTTCTTATCTAACACGCGCGCGTGCACACACACACACACACACACGCAGGAGAGAGAGAGAGAGAGAGAGAGACAGAGAGAGAGACAGAGAGAAAGAGAGAGAGACAGAGAGAAAGAGAGAGAGAAACATATTGAAAATAAGCACATTTCTTCAGAAGTAAAAAAATAAAATAAAAAAGTTTTATGCTTAAAAATCAAGCCTGGATCTATAGCAACTAAATATTATGTAATAGATAAGTTATATATTATATAATAAAAAACAAAAAGCAAAAAACTGCAACAAAACATTGAATAGTTGATTTGTTTTCAAGTAAGAACATATTACTATGCCTGGAATTTAATAGGAGTTTAATAGATAAATGAATAAACACAAAATACAATTGTACATAATATTAAGTACATTTTATTTTCCACCCACTATGTGCTAAGCACAGAGAATTTTAGATATTACTTATAATCTTCACAATTCTTGAAAGTACATTTTACTTCCATTACATGAATGAGAACCATACATCAATCCAAAAGATTTATTTGAATCTATAATGGGATCTTAGTTGAAAACATTCAGGAATTGAAATTTTTCTAATGTAAATAGAACTGTAAACTCCAAATTTCAAAAACTGAAACATATTGAAATTTTATTGCAGCAACATTTCAGTTTCCTATAGGCAACAGTGTCAGACAAGGGTACATTTCATCCCCTGTTTAATCTCTACGCAGGACATATATGAAAAACTGGTCTAGACTCAAAAGGGTGAAGACTGGTGGAAGAAATATCTATAACTTAAGATGTATAAATAACACCATTCTACTAACAGAAAGCAGTAATGATTTGAAACAACGTCTGATGAAAGTGAAAGAAGTGTCAAAGTAGGTCTGCATTTGAACATTCAGACAAAAATCATAACTACAGAATAC